CGCCCGCGGGGTGGCTGGCTTCCCCCTCACGCCCAGGACCCCGGGACCTTTCAACAAGTCCTCTGATTCGCAGAAGTCCTTGCACATATCTGCACACTTCCATACGGAGCCCCTGCGAAGGGAGGTGGGTCGGGTTCATCAGGCTCCGGCGATCCAGCCACCTGCGGAAGGTGTGGCCGACGCCGCGACTTGTCCTGCGTGGGCTAGAGGGTGCAGGGGCCTCGAGATATCTCAGTGGGGCTGCCTAATCCAGAGAACCTGTAAATTGCCTCCGGGAAGTCCAAATGAATGCCATGGAGTCAGCCATGTGGATGCAGCTCACGTTTCTACAAAGTTGAGAGAATAAATCACGACTGCTGTGTATTTATGCACAAATAAAATGAGGCAGACCCTTTATGCTCCTTTGCGTAGTAGAATGCCATGTCCTTGCACATAGTGGGTGCTTCATAAGTGTTGGATGCCTGTTCAGAAGGAGATTTGATGGGCCATCTGGAATAGGAAATAATCATGGAAAATGTCTACAAAATGTCTTTCAGAAGAGAATCTGATGAGTAATTGTCCAGGTTTTGAAACCTTTAAAGTTTTGAAACATCTATGTAATAGCTTTTCCCATTTCCTCTGATAAAGGTGTGACAGAAGAGCCAGGCAAGTTTTGGTAGTCTTAAACGCAGTTTAATGGAGTAACAAATTTGCTGATTCATATCATGATGGAACGGTCATAACTGAAAGTGCTTGAAAGTATAAATCAGCTTTTTCATGATGGCTAGTTTAAAATAAAACTGAAACTCCAGGATTGCAGAGTTCCAGTAGAAATTTTGTTAGTTCAAGTTCCTCCCTTTACTCTCAATAATAAGTAGAAAATAATAAGCATAAATAATAATAAAAATAACTGTGTATTATATAAGTAATATAAATAAATATCTCTTGACCTAGGCAAGGCTGTCATTGCATATCCCTAACAGTTACTTCAGAATAAACTATAATTTATGTAAGCCAAGTAATAATTTTACGCTCTTGCCTGCCTACTTAGAATAGCTGGTTAGAAGAAACTATAAATTATATTTATTAAAATGTGTTAAAGACAGTTATCTTTTGTGTATGGATTTAGTTTGTAGTCAATTAGATGACTAAACCAGCTTGGCGGAACATGAGCTTTTTTTAAGTTTGTAGAACTTAATATTTTGCAAACATTTTTTAAGAGGGTTAAGGGCTTCATAAATTTTCTACAACTCCACTTTTAACTAATGATATCTCATCCCCAAAGAGTTAATATTTTTAATAGTGAAAATATTGAAAAATTAAGTCTATAGCAACAACAATGACTTACAAAGGCAAACTGTGGCAGAACTAACAGTTACTGTACTTTGGAAATACTTTGAATCAGCAAACTTTATGAAAAGTGCATGTTAAAATGAACAAACACTTGAAAGTTCGAAGATGAAGAGGTTATCGTGTACCTCAGCTGAAAAGAGGTCTTTTACTTTCAAAGGTAGCGCTATACGCAGGAAAAAGAAAATTGGTCTTAAGAATAAAAACATCCTGATTAGTAGGTAGTTGCATAAATATACTTATGATGAAGAGACATGAGTGAAAATGTATTAGACAAAGCATTTAGTGAAAATTCCATGTATGTATTATGTGATATTTATTGTTTGTGATTTAGTTCATAACTTTTTGGAGACAATTATGTGGTTATTTTTTTATTTTTATTTTTTTATTTTTTTGAGTTGGAGTCTCACTCTGTCGCCCAGACTGGAGTGCAGTGGCCGCTTCCGGCCACTGCAGCCTCG